TTGTGCTGGTTAGACCCTGCTCCGGAGTAGGAGCTAATTTGGTTCTCGAAAAAGGCAGTCCGGTACTAAAATCGCACCCAGTTCCGGTGGTGCGAAAACGCCAAAAAGTGCGTAGTTCCACAATTAGTTCTGGTACTATGAAAAGGTTCCCATGGTGCGAAAGGCCCTAATGAAAACCTGGAAAAAGAGCAGGTATTAGACATGTCCAAATTAGCTACTGCTATTTTTGTGATTTCCATTTGGTGCCAATGTTCTTGCTTGGGACAAAATTATTTTAAAAATTAGGTGTGCTGGTCCGAGCACATAAACAACACCCTAATTTAATGTAATTGTGGGCAGCAAAAAAATAGCAGGAAATTGAAATTAAGGGTAGTGACGTCTGTCATTTGAGGAATAATGTGTAATCTTAGCAGCTATTTCCTTGTTTACCTCACAGGAACATTTATATGATTCGATTATGCTAGAGTTCTTGGTGTGAGAGGTTTATCAATTAATAACATTTCTGCCCGTTTCAAAAGAGTTATCCAGTATTAGCTGGTTAAAACTAGATGTTTACTAAGTCTACTTTTCTTTGCTTCCAAGTGAAGGTAGCAACTAACAGCAATATGAACACTTTGTTTAGTACTGAGATGCATAACTAATTAACAAAAGCAGCCCTGTTAGCACCATACTCACAAGCTTGTGTTGAATGCTAATTTTAACTTGCAAGAGTTGGTTGTGTGCAGAGCACTGCCAATGCCAGAGTGTAGATTGCACCTCGCTCTGTTAGCAAAACCTGGGATTGATGTCAACAGAACAACTTTATATATTTTTTCTTCTATTTTGATAGGTACACAACACATTTCTTATAGAAGTTATTAAACGGCAACATGCTACAATTGACCTGCCAAAAGTAAATTGAACTTGTGCAATATTTGTCTTGCTTTATAATAATTCATCCACGTGTCACCATGGCATTAGTGTGCATAGCAGAATTGGGTTTGTTTGGTCTGGAAACCAGATTAGAAACAAATACCTTTAAGAGTATTACATTTGTTCATTGTTAATGGCTGCCTTTTATTGCACTTATTGTATAGCCAAGCGTTCTGGATCAGCACTTTGAAGAGCTGTTTTGTGATGAGCTATTTAAAATTATTCTGTTCTTGAAGTCCAAGGTGACAGCCAACTTACAGTTAGTCATAATTGCACACTTTGTTGTCAGTTACAGTTGCTGGTTTGTTGTTTGGCACACTCTTTTACAAAAGCAAGCTTTTTAACTAACAGTAGCTCTCAACATAAAGGAGTAGCAAAACCACTGAATTATCCTGCTTCGAACAGCACTTGAATCATTTTAAAGGCTGTGTGTCCATTTAACCCATTTTAAGAGTTTGCAAATGCACATTCTTAGGGTTTGAATTGATCAAAAGTAACCTGTATATGATTCAGTCTCCCTCATCAGCTTGATATCTGCTTTAAAAGCTCACTTTGCTTCTTTGTGCAGGTGGTTTGACATCTAGTGTTTTATCATGAAACCATGTCACTTTTGACTTGAGTGGTATAGTTGTTGATTACTGTCTGTGTAAGTGGCTTAAAAGGTGTGGTAGTGATTTTTCAGCGGAAGAGGCCATTGGTAGACTCTAAGTCAATGTCTGTTTTTCACATGCCACTCTAAACTACTAAAGGAAAATACCTTTTTAATAGAAATTAGGAAATATGTCCTATTCAATATACGCGTAGATAGCTATGTATTTACTGCTCAACATTCTCAATTTGAACATCTTAAAAGATATGTACTCATCAGCAATGTTCCCTCTATTTTTTTTTTCTTGCTGAGCAAAACTTTTCCCTATTGGGCGGACATTTCGGCTGCCTGAGCAAAAACATTCTTTAGTTTATACCAGACCTGTACATCGCACACACAAAAAAGTGTGTAACTTTTAACTTTAATGTGCTATTTATATTTGATTTGACCCTTGATTTAACTAAACGATGCACATTTTTTCGATGCAGCTTAGAAGTAGCATTGCTCATCAGTTATAAGAAAGTTATAGTGTTAAAATAGGTATTCCCATTTGTAAACATTTCTTTCTCAACTTTTTTTTTAAATATAATTCAAACAGGTTCTGTATTCTATGTGTACTGTGTATACACTCGACTGTTTTCATATCTAGAAATTTGAAAGGAAATCCCCTCTAGAAGATTCTCTCATCTCCTGCTTTCTTTTTTCAGCTCTTAGCTAAATTCTGCATGTGCTAATTCCTTTCTGTGATCTTTGCAGATGTGACTTTACGAAGCTTAAGGATTAAAGCATGATAGTGAGCAGGATTGACTTCATCTCACTGTGTTTGGTGGATGTTTTTTCCAGCTACATGTCAACTGCAGATGTATTTGCCCTCTTTAGTGTGATGCATTGGGTGTTGCATTTTCAGTTTCCTGTATTTTTCATTTGAAGTTAAGGCAGTGTTCTTGTATTTATCATATTTCTGCCTCTTTTTCACAGATGGCACTTAAGAACTTAACATCCATATTTTCCTTTTCATATTATATATCTAAGAATAAATTTGGCAACTTTTTTTTTTTTTTTTGAGTTTAATTCTTTGAAATCCTTCCACAGCTTTCTTCCTTCCAAAGAGGAGAGGCTTTAGAGTGTCGAGCCATTTCTTTTATTTGCTTGTTTTGAAGGGTTTTCTGTCTTTTATCTGTTGTTTCGCTTAATCCAGGGAACACAAAAGCACTAAACAGCCAGCTGTCATTGGTTTCAGGACACTGCTCTCATTACAGGCAGGTGATGAAAGCGATTTCTGTTTCTCCATCCATCTAGGGAATCGGCCATGCTGTGCTTTTTCTTCACATCTCCTGAATCTTCCCACTGGCATTTCTTCAACATGTTCCTCATTGATTTCATGACACTGGTGCACTCAGAAAAAAAAGCCTGTTTGATGAATATCAGATCATTACATCAGATTACAGGAAATGCAAGGACTACAAGGCTGGAATCAAAGTCCAGGTTTCTAGTTTGCATCGACTGGCTAACCATCGGAAGAGGAAGCAACTATATACAAAGTCTCTTTTGGGGCCTGTTCTGCAGCACACCAAACTGATTTTTTGAGGTTATGATGCCTGATCTGCTTATGATTTGCTGATTGGCCATATCCTGTTTGGGGTTGAGCTTTAGATGTTTATGGAGCATGAATTCCTGTCCCTTAACCAACAGACCTATTAATTGAGCCCCAAAATAAGCATCAAAGGTGGTTAACCTCAGAACGTGCGGGAGAGTTGAGCATTTCCGATTTGAATCCATTGTCATTGTACACGATGTCACAAAGCATCTGGCTGTTTTTCTATCATATGCCTAATTGACCATTGCTATTTTTTTCTTGGCTTTTTTATTCTTACTGTCCACTGTCCTATAGCTGGGTTTGTTTCCTTTCATCGTTCCATAGCGAAGCGTCTTTCTGTCGTCCCTGCTAATCTGCTTTTGCTCAGACAGGAGCCATTTTGCTTCTTTTAATGGCGACAGATGGTTGACGACTTACTCAGAGGACCTGACAGCAGAGCTAACAGCCTGACATTGCTTTCGACAAGCCTGACTAGGGGACGAGAAGAAGAGCAGAAAGGGTCTCGAAGGCCAAAGGCATGAAGCGAGAGCGGACAGAGGTTGACAAGAACTCTTTGCACATAGTCAAGCTCTTCAAAACCATTCTGCTTCCATCTGTTAGCTTGGATGGCACTGTTCTTCAGGCATGAATAATTCAAACGCTTCTCCAGTGGTTCCTTGATGGTTCCAGAATTGGTCAGAAGAGATGAGCGCCTTTTTTCTTTTCTTTTTCTTTTTTTTTAATACAAGGGTTAATCTGAGGCCCCCATTAAAACAAGACTTGCATCTTTAACTCAATCCATACCCCATCTGTCAGAAGCCTTCGGGCTAATAACAGGGTTGGTTTCCATGGATGCTGCTGCTCGGCACCCTGTCATATGGGTTTGAAAAACCACAATTAGTGTCTGCTTTGTAATTACCAACTTTAATGCTGGAGAGGATGGTGATCAAATCCAAGTATGTTGAGCTAGAGCCCTTCAGACAATCTTCTATGTCTAGACCTCCAGTTTCTTGGATATTTACTTGGTGCAGACCAGTTTTGACAGAATACATATGTTCTTCTCTCATTATTTGGTCTTCAACATGTTCTTGTCTTCTTGCAATGTCTACATGCATTAAATCAGCTGTCAAACTATCCCAACAAATTATAGTGCAACCAGTCAATTCAGTGTGCTGGATATCTTGGATAGTTTTTATAACTTTATAAAAGTTTATATAAATATTGGCTTGTTGGTACCCTTATTGATTGACTGAGCCTTAATTCACTTTGAACATTTGAAATCATTGTTTTTAGTTTTTTAGCTTAGTTTTTAATTTCTACTTGGTTTTTAGACTAATTAGGATGGAATTTCAATATCAGCCACTTATTGGTTTTTACTATAATTTTAATATCTGTGCACCCTCATTGGATACCTTCGCTAGTGATTCTTTTAGAAGTATAAAACTCTAGTTCAGCTCTAATCAATAGATGTTCTTGCTTGTCAACTTCATCTACCCTTCCTGGTGTCCTGTCCAAGGCTTGCAGGCAGTGTAGGGATTTGAAAAGGCGTCCTAATTATAGAATGCAAACACTGTTTGCGGTCTTGGTGTTAACGGCAGCCTGTGATTTCACAGAAAGGTAGATGCAGTTGAAGTAGAAAAAACAGATCTTGTGACCCGTGTCCAGACATGTCTAAGCGCTTACCGCAAACTGCTGATAAAGAAAAAAAAGAATAAAACAGGCAGATTAGACATTGAAAAGGGTTTCTATTGGTGAAATAGCACTAGGAATGTGTGTAAGCTTTGCGTGTTATGCCTGAATATGTGTCTCACACAAAAACACTTCTTCTTGAAATCTGACATGCTTGCTTCATGGGTCATCTAGATGGAGAGGGTGCTGACATGAACGTTTTGATAAGAAAACCACTTCTTTAAGATGTCCATTTGTGAGGTGGCTTAATGATGAATGTTTAGCCTTATGTCACATCTTTGTCCACTTATTTTGAGGTGGAATGTTGAAAGTTCAAGCAAACTGTGTCCATCTGAAGTGAGCCAACGTCTCGGGACGTAAACTTAGACATCCATTGGCAAAAATGTTTAGAGGAAAAGTGCATTTTCACCACAAGATGTTGATGGCGACAAATTCAGCATGATGGAATTGGGATGGTAGGGAATGGAGTTCAACCTCAATGAAGACATAAACTGTATGTAAACACTTCGTATGCGAGCATTTTAGGGCCGTGCATTTGCAAGATCGCTTTTCTCATGAGGCTTGTGCTGTCACACACAGCTCGAGGCACCAGATATAATCCAAACACACATGCATTCTTGCATAAACACATGCTTACTTGACGTCCTCGCAGATGCTGATATTAAATGACTCCGTTGCACAAACAGTTGATGGGCTTAATGGTAATCTGGAAATGTCAATGTTTAATCTTAACCAATGTATCACAGGTAAAGCAGACGTATGGCTAACCCGTCCTATCAAAGCGAAACAAGGCCTTTTGGCGCATTGAGTACATTTACGTCCTCAGCAAAAATAATTGTATGACTCAAATGTGTCTTTGTTTAGTTTGCCAGAGACTTAAACTGAATTTTGATTATCGGGTTCATGATTAATGAGGGTTCTTAGTAGAAATCTCTGTTCATAAACATGCCTACGCATGGCTGTTACTTTAGAGAAGTTTCTTAATTTAACATTGTGAATGAAGTATGTGGTGTAACTCTCAAATCTTGCACAAATCACCAAAAGTTTTAGACCAGTTATTATTTTGATTGTTCCATATGTGCCAGATCTTTTGAAGAAAGGCTTGTTTTGGCTTGCTTGAAAACGACTTGATTAACTTATAATTGCCTAATTTTTTTTCAGGGAGGTCTTGTTGTTTTTCTTGTAACACAAAATACATGACCGATAATGAAACTGTTAATTTTCAATCCATCACAGTGTTTTATTTCACTGCAACCAGTATTGTCAGCCATTTAGGCTCTTTCTGTGTAACTTGAAGCCCCGTCGCAATAGGAAGCGCTGTGGTGTGGGATCGTGACAGCAAACAAAAGGCTCACCTTAGTGATGATGTAGGTTATGTGAACTGACATCAGGCCAAAGATGATGAACTAGCTCGTCTTTCCCACAAGAGGTTCTCGGCTTCTCGAACCACCGGCTTAGCCTCCGTCTCCAACTCCCAACCGACCTAGACAGCGCTCATCCATCTTATGTCATTGCCATGAAATACCTTTTAATGTTGTCATAATAACTGGAACAAACGTTGCAAAAACATCTGCAAATGGTAGTGCTGGAACCAAACCAAGATACTTTGGAAAAAGAAGGGCTACAGTGGAGATCATGGCGCCTTTGTCTTTTCCTGGGTGTGTGTGGCTAACAAGACCAAAATGCAAGTCTTTATAGTTTGGTTAAACTGATGATGCACAGATTTCCGTATGCTATTTTATCCTTTCTTCTTCAGGACAGCATCCCTAAGCATTCCCAGCCTCCCTATCTTCTCTGGTGCCCGCTGGCAAAATAACTAAATACATTGATTTGCACTGAGGCACCGTTAGTGTAGAGCAGAACATTCGTAATTGGCTGATTAGCATGTGGACAGTTTAGCACTCAACTCTGCTTTGCACGGGCCATTAATCAAGCCTGTCGCTCTGCCAGCTGACTTACTGCCAGAATCCTTGCATTGCTCCAAGCTGGAGAGGCTAGATGATCACAGCTCGGATACCAGGCTGGGATAGAAGGACCTGCATCCTGGCTCTTGTGTGGAGAAAGCAGGGAGTTGGGATATTAAATAGTGCTCAGAATGAACCTAGACCTAGATTTCTCAACTGGCGGAGTGTACAGTCAAAGAAACAACCTCAGCAACAAAAAATGTAATTCTAAATGTTTTTCTGATGCAAAATTTTTATTTTTAAAGATGTACGTGAAAGCTGTTGACACTTCTGTCAGATGCAGTTTAAGTAAAGCGTGCCTGAGAAAAACGTGCTGTCCCGATTCACTATCTGCGGTCAGATGAGATGTTGTCAGGCTTAATGTCAGTGTCATTATTCTATCATTATTTTCGTAATTTCTTACAAAATAAAAAGTCTCTCACCTCAGATAAAGAACTATCCTGTCGTGTCAGACATAACAAAGTGGGTCGCGGCTTGATGACCATTTGAGAACCAGTTGAGAACCACTGACCTAGACTTAAACAGACTCTGAAGTATCTGAATCTAGATGTAACTCCATTCAATCAGGATACATGCATCAGCAACTTTTTGGTTCAAACCTAATTTTGAAGTCATTTTTAAATTAAAATAGGTCATATTTACTTTATTAATACATTTCTTATGTAGCGTCTGGACCAATCAAAAACACAATTTTTCATTTGATTTAACAAATCAGTTATTCATTAGATTAACAAGTCGTCACGGACCCCTCACCCAATAGACTGGGCGCCAGGATGTCTGCGAATGACCACAGGCCATTGGTTACCATGGCAACCCCGACACCTTTGCTAAGACCAGAGCCATTAAGACCTGATGGAATGTGAGTAGGGAAAATCACTGCATGTTCCATAGCAAGAGGCACAATGCACAGTAGAAATGGACTTTTCTACTAATTAATCCATAGGAAAACCTTTCTTTGAATGAACACACATAGCCTTCAGGTCATCGTGTATGTTGTCTTTGAGATTTTATACTGTTTTATGCAGGCTTGTGATGGAAACACTCATTCCTGTCATCCTACATATATGTAACCCTACCATGTTTAGTATCTATGAATTAGTCTTCTGATGATCTAAACGAGAGTGTATATTATATGTTGGTACATAGGCAATATATTAGTGTCCTGAGAATCTTTAGTAATTTCGATTCAAGTTCCATATGCAAATTACCATGCTTCCACACAAAGAGTCATAAAACTCCCCAGTATTTCCAAACTCCCACTTGGGATTTCCGTCTTTCTCATTGGACAAGACCCTTTTGAGAGGCGTGAATCTTCCGAGACCTTAAAAAGGCCTCACACCAGGGACCCGCCCAGAGTCGGTGGTTTGGTTGAATTCTGAGAAGATGAAAATGTGAGCTACAACGCTCCCGGACACCCTAAGTTTTGTGACAGGCCTTCGGCCTTGACTTTTCCATTCACCAAAATTCTCTGACTCAAACTGGTTCTTTTTCATCAACCAACTTCAGCAAAGA